AAACCCTTCCCACACTATTGCAATATTCTAAACAATGTTTCTAAACTCTAAACGCTCTAAGAGAGCACAGAATGTCATGATTTTAGCTCTCTGCTTCCTCTCAGCCATGGCTGCTCTTTGCCACGTGCAAGCGGTCTTGGCCACACCCACTTCTCTGCTCTGAAAGAGAACAGCTGATCAGCTGCAGGAGGAAGTTTATCCTGCGGTATGGGCTGCACGAAGGTGCTAAGCAATTTAAAATAATTGATTTTAAATAAAAATTCCATGCCAATTGTGCGGCTCATCCATCAATCAGCCAACTGTGTGTCATGTCCAATCTTGTTTTGAAAAACCGCGACAGAACGAGTCAGTGAAAAACAAACTGTGAAGTAGCGAGGGACTACTGTACACGTAACATAAAAGAGCCAAAGCCTTTCACACGTGGCTGCATCAGTTGGCGTCCAGCTGCTGCTAGTGTGAGGGACATAAACGAATAAAACAGACATTTAATTTTTGACGTGCATCATACGCCATCTGTGTGTTTTTTCCTACACACAACAAACTCTACAATGAGACCAAAAATTCATGAAAAAAAAAGCAAAGAATGTGGCTAAGTTGCTCTAATGCACATCAGTTGCAAGTTGCAACAGAATCATAAGTCAGTGTATTTTGCTGTTTTGATTGGTTAGTTGCCATAAACTTATTTGAAGGAAAGCTGTTTAATGCTACAGTGCAGAGAAAAACATTTTGTTTCTTTTAAGTCAGGGATTTCATGCTCAGGATATTGTCAAGACGCGCCCATAATCACTATTTCCTTGTGCTAGAACAGATGTATTGAATTTCTGCACATTTGCACTAACAACTTGCACATCTTACCCGTGCTGTCCCTGTGGTCCACAGGCCGGAGCAGAGCGCTCGGCTCCTGATACTCTCCCTCGACCTCTCTGTCCAGTTCGCGGTCGTCTGGAAAAGTGTGTATGCGCTGGTAGCGGCTGGAATAGCTGTGCGTGTTGTTGATGACCACGTTGTCCGAGGGGACTGACAGGTGGACCCGGAGCTCGTCGCTGGACAGGCTGCCTTGAGCCTGTGAGTGCAGAGACACCATCCAGATACAAGCAAAGTAAATTAACTAGACGCATGATCAAACTCTGGAGACAGACTTTAATCTTTGAATGATTAGCAGTAAATGTAATATTTCCAGAACACATCCAGATGGAGAGGAGCTGGTTCACAGCAAAAAGACTGACAGTTGTTCCCTCAGCCTTCTGTCACAGATTAAAAACTGCTTTAAGGAGTTGAGCTTCATAAAACAAACAATTTCTTCGTTATTATGAGGTATGCTTTTTGCAAAGAGAGGAAAACTCTGAGTAACTTTCATCTTGTCACACTGACTGCGGGAATTTAGTCCAGACCCACCTTGCCCAGAATCTTTTTCCAGTACTGCCTCCAAAGAATGACCGCGATCACAGCCAGCAGCAACAGGATGATGCCCACCAGGCAGCCAATCAGAATGGCCGTGTTACTGCTGTCATCTTTGGCTACAGGAAGTCCCGCCCTCGGAGTGATGGCAGAAAACTTTCGTCCTAGAAAAACCAGATATAGAACATTTAAAGTAGGTCTGTCGCAAGGCTCTCATCGAGGTGGCAGCTTCTGTTTTTTCCTCCCCTGTTTTTCCTTCTTCCTGCTCTGCTCTCTGTGTGTCTGAAGCGCCTGGGTCTCATCTCCCGAACATAAATTAAGAAGACTACGGATTTGGTATCGTGGGCGTTCAACTCTATTGATAAGATTTTTTCATCAAAGCGACAAGGTCCTGGAGAACCGGCGTGTCCAGCTGAGACTCACGTTGTGGGGTACGTCATGGATTTGTGGGGAGTGTGGCAGATGATGTGTCTCTCAGTCCTGTCTCAGGAGGATGTTGAAGACGTTTATATATTTGGAATTATGATAGCAGGGACTCTGCTTTTTGGCATTGGCGGGGCTCTGTTTTATCGACTTTTGAAGCAGACGGCGGCAGCAGTTTCGGCCATGGTAAAGCTTCCGAGTCAGTGTGAAGGTCTGGTCCACGCTGTGGGAACTTTGAATCGTCTGGTTTACAAGCTTAACCGTAAGGTGGAGGCAATTGAGAATCGCAGGCCACCTGCGGCTTCTGGGACTCGTCAGCGTGGTGGGTTCGACCTTGAAGGAGACTCATAGCATGGATCAGTGGAATGGAATCCCACAATTAGGCTTTTTCAGAACCAGAATGCCCAGATGAACTCAAGGCTGAAGAAAAAAGTAATCTGTCTGCCTGAAGAAAAAGAATCAAGCTTATCTAAATCTGACTCCCGATGGCCTCGGAGACAGGCCGACTATCAATTTCTCCTGGGACATGAGTACCCAAGGACAAAAGCTTCGTGCACTCCGCCCATCTTTTGGACGACTGTACGTACATATTCGCGTTGTACCTCGGTGCAATTCCAATAAAGTTTATTCTGATAAACAATAAATCAATTAATTGCATGATAAATGAAAATTATCAACCTCATTTTCATTTATCGGCTTTATTGTTTCTTCATGTCTCTCTCTTTCTATTGAAGACACTGGATGACAAAAGGCTCAACTCCGGTGCTCTTCAATGACCCCCCCCCCCCCCCCTTATCTTTTCTCTTTAAAATCTGTTTCAACTGTCCTAAATATGATTTTTGGATTGTTAAAAGCAGCTAAGCTGAGAAGCTAACCTACGAGCTAAGCTAACAGGCCGACCTCAGGAAAAATCCTCCATTTTGGCGAGGCTCCAGAATCCATGATTGAAACTCGTGCCTTGGTGTAAAAAGTTGCGAACTTGTTTACTGAGTTTTTTATTAAAAGCTTTGTGTGAAAAATGCTATGCTAAAGAGCTCAAATCACAATGAGCGTCCGCCATGTCACGTCAAGGGGCCTCCCGCCCATTTTTCATAAAGAGACACGCTGCTCGCTGCCTCACTATCCATCCTTCAGTTTAAACAGTCTTATACTACCATCCGGTGGTCAAAAATAGGTACTACATGCAAAACAAATTAACCAACATTTCTTCTAAAATGTGACAATAAGTACTAATTACTGTTAAATTTCAAACAATATTATCATTTATCGCAATAATTTCTGAGACAATCGCCCAGCAAAATTTTGTTACTGTGACAGGCCTAATTTAAAGTGTCAGAGTTCATGCTCGATAATCCAGGTAAAAATCCATTCAGTCAGGTTATATGGACGATTTCTTTTTTTGTTGAGACGTTTCGTCCTTCATCCAAAAGACTTCATCAAAAGTTGAACTTTCTCATTGAACTCTGGTGTTCTAAACCACTTTGGCATGGCTGCCTCAGAGGAGTTGACGGGGGAGAGGGTGGGCCCCAGAAACCATCTTATCACTAGCAAACTGTTATTTTCCCCCACTATGTGAATGTGCTGCTTGTGAGACTCAGTTTGTTTGTGGCTCCTCAGACTGATGAAGTCCTTTGGATGAAGGACGAAACGTCTCGGCAAAAAAAAAAAAAAAGAAACTGTCCAGATGACCTGACTAAACATTGTAACATTTTAAGTGTTTTATACATGCTTGAATTCCTAAAACTAGCTTTTATTTCTAAATCTGATCTTGTGTGTTCCAAGAGAAACAAATAATGCTCTTAGCTTTGAAGGATATCCATTTTAATTACTCAGAAAATGTGGTCTATTCTTTATCTAAATCAGTTTTAAACAATCACACTGTGAAAAAACAATCAAATGGCTGGAGTTTTATGGCTTCATTAAAAAACAGACACAAAAAAAGAAAAAGAAGTCGGTGTGTGGGCTGGAGAAATGTAAGTGGACTCATTAATTTGTTCCTGTACAGAACTTTTTTGTAGCAGCTTAAATGAGAGGAGAAAGTTTGAATCATAGCTCGTTGTAAAAACACTCATCCACAGTTCCTGTCATGATTTATTTATGTGCTTTTAGACTTAAACAGCAAACCTGGCATTCTACAACAGGGCAGTAAAGTAGTCATGTTGTCCATTTTTTTGGCTTTTGATAAAAAAACTACTTTTCTTTTGTTGTTCATGCTAAGTCCTGCTGATGTTTTGTCCAGGATCCAGTTGTTTTGCCTTCAAGCCAACTGGAGAAACTGCAGAAATGTTTGTGCTTCAAAGAGCAGTGGTTTTATTCATGATGTCTTTATCAGAACTCTTTATTCCCTGTAGGGTTTTTTGTGGTTCCACACATCACTTGAATGTTTTCCTGTAGACCTTGTATTCTTTTCCCACCTTTTCAGAAATGCATGTTGTGTTTATAAACGTCATATTTGCACGAAGACTATTTTTAGGCGATCTCGGATCAGTTTTGAAAATTTCCCATCAGGAAACATGTCAGCTTACTGTGAAGTGATGAACACTTAAGTCTTCAAAGCTTTGCAGCCTTCGCTCCTGTGTTCAAATTCTTTGTAATGCTTTATTTATAGTTGTGTTAGTCTTTTTTTTTTGAAGCATTGTTTACACAAATCGCTGTCTCTTGACAAGAGCAGACTTTGTCTGTAACCACACTTTGCTTTTATTTTCAGGGCGGGGCACCTTTACTACCTAAACTTCCTCTGGTTGTTTTAACTTTATGCATCAAACTATTATGATCCAGACTATAAATTACACAAGCACACCAAACAACTTCATACATATCTATGTCTGCTTGTGATCTGCATGCAAACTCGCGTCTGTGTCAAGTGAAAGATACTGAGCACGTGTGATTCTAAACTACTATTCCTATTTCGCAGTTTTTCACTTATCACGGGGCTTCAGGGTACGGATCCCCCGCGATAACGGAGATATGTTGTCACTAAAATGAAGGAGTTTGATTGAGGATGACTAAACTGAGTTAGCTCACCGTGTTATATTAAAGAGGCAGACGTCTGTCACACGTGCTGAAGGTCTACAGAGGCAAGTTCTCCTCCATGCCTCGATGCTCGCATCATTTCTGAAAGCCCACGGTGTGATGAGGGTTGTACCAAAATGTATTTGGGCGCCGCGCGAGTGCGCACAGCCCATTAGTCTGGGTATTTGCGCTGCTTTTGTTCTTGGAGTCAAACAATATTAATAATAAAATACGTTCTACGAATATGTATTTGGTTTTCCCAAGAATGTAACAAAAGTGCATCTTCTTTTCACGTTTATTTGTTTCATTAAAACACCCGTTGTTATCTCAGTAAGCGTGTCAGTTTCATGTGTTTGTAGGTATAAATGTCTGGAGATGTCAGTATGCAGAATTATAACACACAAAAAAGGATTTTGTGATTTGAATGTGCTAAACTGGTTTATATTTGGAACCAGACCACGACATAACAAAAGAGACATAATGCAAAAGAGAGCACATTACACCAGTTTTGGCCTCACTGCACTGGTTACCGGTTCACTTTCGAATCCAGTTCAAAATACTCATGTATGTCTACAAATCACTGAACAGTGTCGCCGCCCCCCCCCCCTCCCCCCTCTGATTTGCTACAACCGTATGTCCCACCACACTCCCTGAGGTCAGCGGACCAGTTGCTCCTCACAGTTCCAGGAACTCGTCTTAAGCGCAGAGGTGACAGGGCCTTCTCTGTAGCAGGACCAAGACTCTGGAACGAGTTACCTCTGCTTGTCAGACAGGCCCCCTCCCTCTCGGTTTTCAAGTCCCGTTTAAAAACTCACTACTATTCAGTAGCTTTCAACACAAGATGATATGTGTTTTGATCCTGTATGCTCCACACTGGTTTGTCGTCATTATCTGCATTGTTTTTTGTCTATATTCTGATTTACCTCATTTTGTATTTTGCTTTGTGTGTTACCTGTTGTTTTGCCTGTACAGCACTTTGGTTGGCCTTGTAGCTGTTTTAAGTGCTTTATAAATGAAGTGGTATGGCAAAGTGGTGTGGTATAACTCTACTGTGATAACTGGAATGCATTTAATCATCATAAATGTAAAATAATGCACTTTATTTTCATTAATTCTGATTATTTGTTGTCTAGTTTGCCTTTTTTTAACCAAATATGCAGTTATTTAATGTTAAGTACTTTTTGTCACAGAAAAGGCTGTAATTTCTCATTTTCAAATATAACAACTCTCAAACTGTGTTATTGCCTTTACAGCATATATCCTTTTTTTTCTTTCGGCACCATGGACGGGAGTAGACTGTAATTTTGATTATCTGTATGTCTTGAAAATTAGGACAATTGACAATAAAGCCGACTTGACTTATATCAAAACAATGATATAGACAACATTCATAGAGGTAGTCAAAATAACTTTAAAAAGTCATTTTTATTTGCCAGACTGACAGACCTCAACCTTAAATGACTATTTCACTCATCTAACCTGCACAATTTTGGGAGTTTGGAGAAAAAAAACAAAGTACCCAGAGATATATAGATAAAAATATTAACATTTTCAATAGAAAATAAAACTACTAAAAGAGAACTTGGCTGAAGTTAAATTCTGGTTTCCACAAAAAGTTAATCCATTCACAGACATAAAAAAGCAAAAATGTATTTAAAAAGGTCCAACACTGCACAGTATAACAGTCAGACGTCTCACAACAGAACCACACAACATAAACACACATTTATCTCATAACTCTTCAGTCCAAACAAAATACCAACGGATTTAAAGCTGGTATTTTCTATATTTGTCAAATGTGATTTTCCACGGTTTACAATAACAGTAATAAAAACACAAAGCTAAAAGCTGAGAGCAACACCAAAGGTCTATTGTTCCAACTAGTCAGAGATCCCTTTAAATTCTCAAGTTTCCCAAAGAGTTTAGTCAGCAGCACAAGGTCTTCATTCAGTGTTGATATTTAGCCCCATGCTGGCAGCAGCTAATGCACCGAGCCTGCGAACATTAGCTCCCTCAGAGGATTCACGGGGGTCACACAGACACAGTTTCACCAGCCTGACTCAACATCTGACAGGGATTGTCTGTTTGCGAGCGCCATTAGTATGCCGCGGACCTCCGAGCTTCTCATAACCTGCTGCTTTGGGAACAGTTTGTCAGTGCGGTTTGGCTTTTTAGAGCTTTGTATTCAAGTATTAATAAGAATTATTCAGCTCCCCCCACCATTTTCAAGGTCAACTGTAGCATGTTGTTTGCATGAGGACTGTTTGGTGTAAACTGTTAAAAAGTTTCCATCTAGTCCATTAAAAATTGTTACGCGCACACATAAAAACAAGATATAAACACCTGCACTCATGCATCCTGATGTTTTTATGTTCGCGTCAGAACAGACAACAATTCCTCCATTTGTCTTCCTGTCATTTAAGCACCACACTGGCAATAAATAACCCCAGACAAAACCATCTAACCACATCCAGTCACACGCACAAAGCAGCATACATGCCACAGCAAACCATTTCCTGCCCTTTTTTAATTTTAAAAACCCGTTATTGTTTCTCTGTGTATAGACACAGCTCGTCTGCAAAACATGCATTTTGTGAGACCGCAAGAAGCCCCGATGATATTCAGCGTAAATGTAATTTATTATAGCTCTGTTAGAGTTCTTTCCTCAAGCTGTTTATCTTCGAACTCTGGGGACACAAGCCAGCGCCAAATCCTGTCCCTCTAATCTGTGCTCCGTCAAACTGCAAACTGTCTGCGGAGCACGGGGACAGGTTTAAGATGCTGGAGAAGGGCCAACGCTGAGGGAGTTTGCGCTTTTATTTTTTTTAATTTTCGTTTGTCGATCTCTCACCTGTCAGTGTCCAGTTACCAGTGGTGTCCATCATGAAGGTGGCAGGAGGGGATTCTGGAGGAGCGAGGGATGGACAAAGGAGGGATGTGAGAAGAATGGTGATGAAGAATAAAAGGAGGAGGTGGTGGAGGAAATATAGAAGGATTCTGGTTCGGATGGATTTTCATTTATCCAAACAAAAAAAAAAATCTAAACATTTATGCAAATTGTTTAAAATCTGGATTGTGATTAAAAAATTATTTTATTTTTTTTTACACCAGATTTCTTTAAGTCCAGTGATAATTGTATGATTTTGGCATTGATCTAGGGCCAGTAAAATAAAGAAAACCGAGCCTTTTAAAATTTTGCTTCTAATAGCAAAACTTCAGACACATGGACACAGTCACCATCCTGTCATGATTAACATCAATACAAATAAATTTAAAAGATGGGCATAAAGATGAGGTGAAATAATAACAAAAATGGGAAAACTAAAAAAAAGGAATAAATGATAAGAGTAGGAAACATGACATCAAATCGATTGGCGTGAGGAAGAGGAGGATCAAGAAGAAGAGTGGATGAGCAGAACTCACCAGAAGGTGTGGAGGTGGTGCTGGAGGAGCTGCGGCTCGATGTGGAAACAGAAGCGGTGACATTTACGGGAGGAAAGGACGTGGAGTCAGGAAACTTCGGAGGATTGTGAAGAAATGAGTCGATGTTTGTGGAGTCCTCTTCAAACGGCTCTGGATAAAGAAAAATGAAAATCACAAAGGAGAAAATGAAGACAGCTTTGTGGGAAAGAATCCTGGTTTTGTACTTTTTGGTCTTTTTTATGTGACATAAAACAGTTGGTTCATCTTCAGCGGCGACGAACTGTGATTGTGGTCCCAGCTGGTTGTGTTTTCAGACAAAAACAATCCATTTCACAAAACTTAATGATGGTTTTGAGGCATCCTTAATGCCCACTAACCTTTGTCAGGTGAAAAGCTGACATTTATTCTCCTACATCTCTGCTGTAGCTCATCCAGGACTAAATTAACTTTGAATTTAACTGTCAATAATGGTGTACCACAAGGCTCAGTCTTAGGTCCCCACCCTCTTCACAATCTACATAAATAATGTAGGTCAGATTATTCCTAATGCATCCCTACATCTCTATGCTGATGACACAGTTGTCTATTGCCGAGCTAAAACAATTGCTAAGGGTTTCCAGCTTTTACAGTCTACGCTCGACATTATCCAGTTAGATTTGTTCTGTCTCAAACTGGTGCTAAATGCTGATAAAACCAAAGACGTGTTGCGCTCCCAAGACATCATTACCTGCAGTGTCCAATCAGTGCGAACCGAATTTGGCAAAAGGGCCTTCTCTTACCCTGCTCCTGTATCCTGGAACACCTTGCAAAACGATCTGAAACTCTCAACCTCTCTAAGGAATTTTAAACTACTGTTAAGTTCAATGCAAAAACCACTGCAGGCGTGTTCCTGTTTTTAGTATCTTACACCGTTTTATAATGTAGTATGTTTTTTTAAATTTTGTTTTACATCACTTCTTTTGAATACTTTTCATTTTATATGCTTTCATATGTTTATTGTTGTGTGAACCTCATTTATGGTTTTTGTCTAAAACAGCTCTTGCAAATGAGTCCTCGTGACTCAGTGAGACTAACCTGTATAAATAAAGGTTGAATGAATGAATGCTGATCCAGGAGGAGGCTAAAGACAGGATTTTGATTTCTTAGGACTGAAAAATCTTCACATGGATCATTTTATTTGAATAAATGGAAGATACGATGTACATTAATGCCTGTTTTGATGATTTTAGCCTACTGTTCCTTTACACACAAGAAAACAAGTCAACACTGGAGCTAAAAATCCTGTTTGAAGTGTGAGAGTCCATTTATACCGAAATATTTGGCAGCTTGAATAGTAAAGTCTCCAGTTCAGTTTGTTTTGCATCAGTATTCAGAGCATGTGTGTCATTTAATATCTGCATGAAACAAATCAACAAACCAGACGTGTCAGACCACTGTTGGGTCACCTGAGTTTGTGTGATTGTTTGTTACCGATTTAATTCTTATCACACTGCAACCGACACAGAAGACAGTTTAATTAGTTGGGTATCTCAGCTGTGGTGTAGATAAGTCAGTGAGGTTCAACAAAACAGTCAATCTAAATTTCCAGACATTTTATCGCGAAAAACTTAGTTTAAGATTTGAAGGATGTCAATTAAACTTTAGATCTACAGCCAAACTTTAACAAATATCAAAATCAAAATCCTTGAGTGAAAAGTGAAGTTTATATTTTACTTTTATCAGATTTTGCCAAAATGTTTCCAAAGTTATACAAAAATGTCATTGAATAAAATGCAAAATCTAAGAAATCCAATCTTTTTCTCCTCTTTCTCAAACCGCTGTGTCCATGAAATTTGAGTCTTTTTAGTTTGGTGTGCAGTAAGTTTCAGACGAAAACTTATTTCTGACCAGCCACATCAGCATGAAGCTCTTTAGATTCCCTTGATTGTGTCTTTTCCACAATACAAACCAACCTTTAAAGACTTTCACCGAGTTATTTCCCAGCACAACTGGTCAGAGGAGCCTTAACTCTTTTATGACTGAAATTTTTCATGAACATTGCAAACTGTTCAACTTGTAATGGTCAGATTGCCTTTTTGGCTTTGAGACTCGTTCTTGTTTTAATAACATTTTTGATGCTCTGAGACACTTTCTCTCAGTGCAATTGTAAAAAGAAACAACATGACAAGTTATTTTTATGTACCGCTTAATTTAGGTCATTAAAATAAAATTTAACACATTTTAAGTTTTAAATTTTATCCTAAATCATCAGAAATGTGGTAAAAAATTATGTTTGGAAGTATACACTTCATAAACCTTCGACATTTTACAATAAAACCATAAAACAAAGTAGCTAAGGTGTATGTAAGATAAGCGTACCCTCCATATAGAAGTAAAACGTCCTGACTAACCTTCAGAGAAGCAACGCTCCGAGATATAAAAACTTATTTCAATTCAGTTCCCTACCAGAGAGGAAGAATATCTCGCTGATGAGCAGCCAGCGGTCTGCAAAGTAGAATTTGCAGCGGAGGATTTGAGCCAATCGACCAGCCAGCGGGAGGGAGATGGGTCGTGAAGAGGGGTCCTTTAGATCCTCCAAGGGTACGGGCAAGGTGAGGACAGGAGAGGACCAGGGCTGCAGGAGGCCAGGCTTAAAGAGACACTCCACTTTGCTGAAGACTCGCACACCCTGTGTGTGGCGGTTGTTACTGTGCACCTATGAGGAGGAGATAAAAGTGAGACCAAAAGAAAAGATACGGATCAAAAAGGAACGAGATACAATTAAAAAAAAAATCTACTACCTGCGCATGTGAATCAGCTCAAAGACGTGAGAAACTCAGATGTTTAATATTCATTGTGGGTGAAGCGGCAGGGGAAGATTAAATTATCACAAAATTAATGACACTTTTTTTGGTCTGTTAAGCTACAATTGCATTGGCAGATACTGAACAGAACTGCAAATGAAAGAGAGAAGAGGATGGACAAAACAAAAAGAGACAAAAAAAAAAAAAACCCAGACAAGATTCGGTTTATATATCTAATTTTCTCAAGAGAAAAACCCATAAAGGCTGATCTTCTTTACGAGCATCGCTGCGGCAGAGAGAATAAAGAGGAGTTAAAAATGTAGAAGGTGGCTAAATGAGCTAGTGAGAAGGAAAAAGATTTAAGTGGCATAAACATAAATTAATAAATAAACAGTAGGTTTGTATTTTCTTCTGAAATAGAGAAGTTGGTGCAGAGGCTGATCTGACAGGCTGGATGTTAACCTCACACAGTGCAGGAGCAGCCAATCTAATCAAATCCGCACGGTATTAATGTAGCACGGCCAGATGCCCCAGATGCTCGGTTGATGTGTAAGCTTGTGTTTGTGCAGAGACAAACTTCAGTGTGCGAGTGCTGCAGGGTGATTACAGGGGTGCAAAAAGTCAACAAAACCAAATAAATTCACTACTTCTTTTGGAAGTTATGGCTGCAAAAATCTTCACTTACCAGAATGACTCTGCATTCTTTACACTTTGCATGTTTCGTCATAAAATCTAACCCTCGTTGAATATTCTCTGTGATCGTTTGTTTTGGTTTCACACAACGCTGACAAAAACGTTCCACAAAAAGTCCCAGCGGACAGAATTGGAGCTTGACACAAAGCAGATCAGAGTGTGTCAAGGCTGTCAAAAGGTTAAAGTGCAGATCTCCCTTTGGGACAACGATTAGGTACAGGTTAAGGAACTTTGTCCTGCAGAGACTAGTCAAAACTAGGATCCGGTTCAGGTTCCCACTCGTATTTATTTGACCTGTGTGTCGGACATATCCGCTCTGCCAGGCAAGCATAACAGTATATGTCAGCTGAGGTTAGTGTGGGAAACTCACCAGGGAAAAGGCAGGAAAAGCAAAGTCAGTCTTGAAAAAACAATAGAAAGATTGCTGGAAGAGACTTTAAACGGCAGCTGACGTGAACTGGAGTAAAAAAATAAAGACCTGGCATTCTTTGAAGGAATGCATATCACCCTCTGCCTTTCATGCCAGAGTTTTAAAACAAGAAGGGATGGAGTAATAGCCATTTTAGTCTAGCCTTGCAAATTATATACAGTAGTTTTACACTACTTTGTAGTTCGACTTTTGCGGACTCGCTCTATCGCTGTTTTTCAAAGTAAGATTGGACACGGCACACAATTGGCTGATTGATGGATGAGCTGAACAATCGGCATGGAATTTTTTATTTAAAATAAATTATTTTAAATTATTTAGCACCTGCTACACCTCTGTGCAGCCTACAGCTGCAGGAGAAGCTTCCTCCTGCAGCATGTCAGGATCTACGATCTGCAGCGGAGAAGTGGGCGTGGTCGAGAGCACTGGCAGATGGAAGAGAGCAGCCGGTGGCAGAGAGCGGAGATCATGACTCTTTTAGAGCATTTAGAGTTTAGAAAATTGTTAGGGACATTGCAAGAGTGTGGGAAAGTTTTAAAATGCCTTAATATAATAATAATAATAATAATAATAATAATAATAATAATAATAATAATAATAATAATAATAATAAACTACTACTTACTACTACAGTAAATACTAAAATAAACTACTACTTACTACTTTTATAAGACTGAGCTGAATACAGCACCTCTGACTGAGGAAGTCTTTCGGATGAAAGACGAAACGTTTCTACATTTTTTTTTTTTGTTTGTTTCGCTTTGTTTTGTTTTTTGAATGTCCAGAGGACCGGATTTAACTTCCTTAGATTTTTCTACCTGGATTAATGAGCATGCATCAGGATACTACTTACTACTACTACCACCACTTGTGTACATAATTTCGTTCCATCTCATGTACCACATGAGAAAGAAGAAATTAAAAGTGACAAAAGCAGCCAAAATGTTTTAAATTTCTTGAAAGACCTTTAAAATATTAGTTGTTTTCTTCATAAGACAGATTGTAAATTTAGGCTTCAATACGCAGCGGGCGCTTCGCCCAAACAGACATTCCAACCCAGGTCCAACGACACGACACAGTTATGATTCAAACTGGGTTGCTTCACATCATCATCCCCTCCGTTGCTCCACAAACTAACCCCAAAAGCCACACAGACGCACAAACAGACTGTGATGCAACTTGGTGGTTTCCACAGAGACTAGCACCGTCCCGGCACAAACTATGAAGCCTCCAAACTAATTAAAACTGCTGCAGAGTTGTTCCAGTCAATAAGTCCAACTGAGCTGAACCCACAGAACAATGCAGCTGGAATACAGCCAAAGTTAAAGGAGGGTCATCAGGGGCAAGAGGAATCTAAAGTCTCAGCTAATCAACCTTAGCAAACAAAAATGGCTCTAACTCGGCCTGTTCTACAGATATTGACCCAAAATTTGGTGCGGAAGTAGTTGAGAGTCATCCCCAACACACACTTCAAGCACTAACAGACTGCATAATATTATTGATCGATATATTGGCATCAACTGTCAGAGTTTATGCTGTCTATTTATTAGGCAAGTACCTCATGAAATGCTGGACACATTTTAATGAAACTTGGTCAACTTCATTCAAGGAGACATTCACATTTCAAAAACTGCCTTTTAAAATTAGATACTTAGATAATCCAACATTTGTTTAACATCAAAGAAGAACTTTCGAATGTGTTGATATGAGCATTAGCATTAATTATTCTGCTAACATCATAAATGTTTCAATAAGATTTTTCATCTGAAACGTCAGTAAAAAAAATTAACAGGTGACCATGGGTGTCTGATTGTGGCAGAAGAAAAATTGTGGAGCATCCATGGTGGCAACGTCACATACATCCAGGTAACGGGTCCCATGGATAAAAATTTGTCTGGTCGGTGTTTTGGGAGCTGCAACATTCTTCAACTTGATCAGGGTTCACATCACTTGAAGATTTTGTTTTCAAATGAGTTTATTTAAATATGAAACCAAAAGTGGAAATTTACAAAAGTTTTAGTCCATATTTGGTTCAGTTTTAGTCTGGACTTAAGTTCAACCCAAAAGAGCTCTAAGTGAATATCAATACAAGATCAGAATAAAATTCTATTTCACATTTTTTATAAACTTGTGAATATCCTGCACTCATAAATAATTTAATATATTTTTATGTTTTTTATTTAATCTGATTCATAATCAAAAAGAGATCTAACATAGTTTTAATACAAAATAAAGACAAAAACAACTTTAAGCTAAAGGAGTGCATCAAAGTTCATGCTCAATAATCCAGGTAAAAAATCCAACAAAGTTAAGTCAGGTCCTCTGGACGCTTTCTTTTTGTTGAAACATTTCATCCTTGATCCTACAGTGATTTTTTTTTTTAGCTAAATCCATTTTTAATTTGTAACTAAGACAGTAAAATTAGATTTATTAAACACGCTTTTGTCCTGTTGCTGGGAGTGACGGTATGCCGTAAGGTCAAAAACTGGCAGGTGGCAACAACCAAGTTTGAACACCAGCTTTAGAAATCATGGCAGCACCTGCACCACCTGCTCCACTGTGCAGACGCCGATCCAGGTGATTCTTCTTACAGACAATGCAACTCAAACCCTCAACTAATAATTCGCTCTGAAGCTGGTTACGAGTTCAGCGTATGTTTCTATGGCGAGCTAGCCGGGCTCAAATAGAAGCTCCTTCATGAGACCAAAACGTTTGAGTTTCAGCTAAGCTACTTTGTGGTACAACTCTCATAATGGCAACTGCTCCATTTTTCCTGTTTTAGCTATTTTTACCTGCATGTTGTTGAAGAGTCTTGGTTTCTCAAAATGGAACTCGATATCAACGCTGCCTTGTCCGAGGGCTTCCCGACTCCAACCTATGTAGTCGTACCCGGGCCATACCCTCAGCTCCTTCGTTTCTATAAAGTCATCTCCTCCCAGGACGCCATCACAAAGCTGACCCAGGCCTCCAAACTGCATCCTGCACACAGATTAATGTTTGCATTAACACATGAAATAACTCTGCAAGCGCCTTAACGTGCTGGTGAATAAAAAAAGCTCTTTCTCACACAGTCGGAACATTTTTGCACAAAAACGCACACCATGTACACAAACACACCTCAGCAGGCACAAAACAACACATTGGGGTCAACAAATAGGCCCCCGCATGGACATCTGCTGGAAACACGTCTGGATTACATCAAAAGTGCCTGCTCACGCGTTAGCAAAACATTTCAGCCCCATTAACCGCACAGCCTGTAAAAGTGTGGACGCCCCACCAGCCCACACCCCACCCCAAATTCCTGGTTTACCCCTCATTTGCTCGCTGCCAAACATTATGGTGAGGAAACACGCCTCAAATCCCAGAGCAGCTAAGAAAAATAACGTCATTCTCTTTCGATTAGGAGGACAAAGAAAAACAACAACAAAAAATTCTACTTTGAAGCAAAACTCTGGCTGAGAACGCATCTCGAGTTTAGTGGATGTGATGAGAAATGTGGACATTTCACCTCAATTTTTCAACTGACAAATTATTTTCCAGTCTTTACCGAGATCGTATCTGCCACAGAAGAGCTCTACACAACAACAAAGTGACGTCTCCATGAAAGCTCCCATCAAAGTAGAATCTATGGCAATCAGAGATGAGATGCCTTCTCATGCATCAAGACGAAATGGAAAAAGATGCAGCTGAATATCTTACCCTTGTTCTATGGTTCCATCGTAGGTGGAGTCGTTTAGATAGACCTGCATGCCCAGCAAGTTCATGACGTGACCCACTGGAGCTGTGTACGCTTTCAAGCCATCTGGGGAAATAAATAAATAAATAAGTCAGGTATTTTACGAGGTTACTAAAAGAAAGCAGCTTTTGTGAACTACCATTTCAATTTTTAATTTTTTTTCTTTTTTATTGTGAGCGAAGGAAGCGCTTTAGGAAAATGTATGCTACATTTTCAGCATGTGTCAATGCTTCTGCTTTGGCTGCCATCATCAAATTTGGTAACAAATCCTCAAAAATGATTAAGTTATTGGACTGACATTAGAAGACAATAAATGCTGAATATTGTAGTGATACACGTGAGGTACGTGTCACTTGTTGTATGACAAATATATGAATTATATATGCATACAATATTCACGAGTTCTTCATTTTTCTGACTGTAAATGCCGTGCATTGAATTTAACAGAAATGTGAACGAGAGACGTTATTTATCTTTGACCCATCAAATGAATGGAATCATTTATTTTCAAAATCAAAGTTTAACATCAAACATTTACATTAATTTGGCAAAATATGAAAATAATAACAGACAGTTTCACAGAAAATGAACTTCAAATCACTCGGCGGTGATTTGAGGACTTTGCTTAAGATATTTCTAAAATATCTGTACTGATTTATGAGAGAGAGGTGGGTTTTAGAGTGAAAGGAGATTATCTTACAGAGAACTGTGTGAGGGAAGTTTAATCTGTTTAACCAGAAATTGCACGCTTCGTCAGATCCTCAGCCCGTCCACGGTACACTTGAGTCGAAGAGGAAATCTTTACCTGGTTTGACGATAGATCAGCTCAGTAAGAGTCCTTCAGACTGTTTCAGCGCCTCCGTTCAGAACAGCTAGAAATCCTCGGAGAGTCGTGCGTGGTTAGTTCAAAACAGAATTATAATCCCAAACGTCCCTGGTTCTTCATAACTCCAAACTCTTCATAACCGGCTGCACTCTCAATCTGCTCATTCTGTTGGACTATCGGACCTGTTGTCAGCTCCCAATCCAACATCTCTCAGAACTCTCAATCTAACTTGAACTGGGGAGTTGCCACATTTTATTTGGGTCGACTTCCTGTTCAATTTAGAGCTTTCTGATTCGTGGAAGGACCAGAAAGAGGAGTGGTTTTTGACGTAAGGTGTTTATCAACAGTCGAGGTCAGAGAATGAAACTTGTTTAACATACAGAAAAGATTATTGCAGAAGCAGCAGACTTTTTGGAGTCTCACACTTTGTAATCTTCTGAAAAAGTTTAAACATGACATTTCTTCTTCAGTAAACATTTTAGTTGACCGAAGACCAACCTTTCACATACTTACGACAGCTTGCTCATTTCAGACAGAAAATCAAGAAAGGCATATTCAGGTGATTTCTTCTCTGAATGAGGAACAAAAATCATTACTTACTGTTTATGTAAAATAAAAATTAGTAGTTCTTTTCAACCTGTAAAGCATTGAGTGAACTAACACAATTTGATTATCAAAACATTTGTAAGACAGTAATGATTATAAAGAATTGTCTTTTCTGCTTGATTAATTCAAGAAAGAAAGTTCATCAGATGGTTCAGACTTATTCAGATCAATGAAAATAACAGTCTCTGTCCATCTGGTAGATTTGAGGTTATCTGGTTCACTACAATATCAAACACAGATCATCTGCTTCTTTTTCCACCAGGAGAGGATGAATGTGTGTAAAACTTTGAGTTTGTTTCATATTTTCTGGCCTGAAGTTGAACTGAGCAGCGTCTCCTCAGAGACCACAATGAATCTTTTTTTTTTTTTAAACGGAGATGCTCTCCCTGAAGACATAGAACAGGAACTTGATTTTCCAGTCCCTGACAGTTGTGATTTACAGAGAGCCCCGTGCTGTCTGAGGGAGGAGGATGGGGCAGAAGAATCAGTCATAAATACTCGGTGTTGAGCTTCAGGAAATATTGAGACCAACACTATTTTTCAGGCTGTGGCTTCTTTCATCAGGGCAAACCCCTCAGAGGCTGTAAAAGCATGCTCTTGTAATCATTACCATCTGATAGAAAATTAAATCTAGGAAGAGAGCAGACTCCGTCTCTTACCATACGAGTGGTAATCAAACTTATCTAGATGAAGACGGCATGCCTCAGAATAAACGGACCAGACGATGAAAGCAGAGAGCATCTTTAGTCTCTGTCACCCCCTCACCCCGACACACTCACATATTTACCATTCCACACACAGCCGTAGAGCTCCACCCGGAGGCAAACACTCATCACCCGGTCAGCCAGCGGGTAGAAGCGGACCATACGAGCCACAATGGGGGGGCCGAGGTCTTTCAGCACAACATCATAGGTGTTCTCATTACCTGACACCACCTAGAGAGGGGGAGAGGCACAAATACTCAATTACTACATCACTCTGCAGGTTCTGTTTTTGGCAACTCTCTTTCTCGTTACCTGTGGGGTTTATTAAATTTCGCCTGACGGCTCAGAATTATTTTTTTTATTTTTTATTCCAACCATCTTCAGTTTCTATAAACCTAAACAGAGTTTGCCATTAGAATTTATGTTTAGTTCAGTAAAAAGTGAAAAGTGAGGCTGATTTTAGAGTGAGAGTTAGATTACAATTATTCACAGTAACTATTGTAGGCATGTGATTACAATGAAGATGAATGAATGAAATACTCTGTAGTCAATATTGTGTAATGCCTTAACCTTCATATCACTAGGAACGCTTATTACAATACTGTATAGTTAAAGCAATAGTTTGTATGTTTAGAAATGGGTTCCATGGAAAGGGTATGAACAATTAATATCTTACTTGCTGTAGATAGCTCCTTGAACAAACTCATTTAGGAGGAAAAATGGTTTGATTTTGTTTGGATGGACAAGCTAACAGTTAGTCCAAGCAGGGAATGCTGCCAATTTAAAACAACTCCAAAATTAAAGATTTCATAGCAGTTCAAGCTAAAGCTATTTTACAACTGATTACTACACTATTACATTGTTATTCCAGCAGAAATATTAAGATTCACCTGCTGGAAGTGCCCAAGGCTGCACTGGAAGTGCTACAGCTAGCTGCTGCCGCTGCTATTACGTATGCAAATAACCACAGAATACTATGTAAATAACTAATGCCAGACTTAACTCGTTAATCGTTTTTAACTCGTCAATCTGGTCAAAATTAAACCTTTTTCTTCAAACTGTGGTGGTTTAAAGAGCAGGAAAGATAATTATTCACTATCCACAGAACCCTAACAAAAGAGTTTTAACTCCTCTTTATAAGGCTTTCTATACATTTTTTAGGTTCAGTATTAGTTTCTCATTTACAAATTAACATAAACTAGTTTTTTACATTTATATTGCACTTTTTATATGCTGTGGTTTTCTATTCCCACTTATACAGCAATAAGTGTGTCAGATTGGAGACACGTGGCCACTGCAGCACAATATATAAAAAATGCTCACAAATCTTGGCATTGATTAAATATTTAAAGTAATGTCTGAAGGTGGTGGACAAAGTGTCTGATGTCTTCCTTGGACTTAAGTTGTTGGAAGTCTAAATTCCCCACATTATCTTGTAACATGGAAATTAAACAGAGCAGGACTTATCGCTAAAGAAAACATTGAACATGTGCCAAATGCATAAAGTGCAGATTTGCAGTAAATCTTCTAAGCATTGTTCAGCAGGAAGTGAAGACTCGTGCCAGAGCAGAAACATCGTTGGACAATGTTGAGCTTGCACAAATCCCATGTACGGTATTTCAAAAAGACAGATACAGGATTTATAAAACAGCAGACTGATTAATGCATTTATACTCAACAGGCCAAGGACATTGATCAGTTTCTATTGATACTTCAGAGTCTACCCCGAGACTTCTTTTGACATTTACTTATCTGCACTGAGCTGCAGTTCTGCTATAAGTAAGAGGAGGAGGTAGGAAAAGTCCTGCTGCCTGACCTCTTGGCCCCAGCGATCCTTCCAGGTGATCCATTTCTTTCCATCTCTGGAGTAACGGAGTCGATAACTGCGAGCAAACTCTTGACCGAGACCTTCGGCATGGCGACCTTGGGTTCCAACCAGAGCCAGGAAATGGAGTTTATGCAGATCAACCTACAGGAAACACATCATCGCACGTCACACACTAAAAGAAAGAGATTTGTACTTGGATACAGGAAAAACTTCCCGTAAGCTGTAAGGTTTGCATTTTATATTGTTTATGTTCTGGTTATGAGGTGACTGATGTCTAAGAAGAGGCAGCTGTTAGCTCAGCACCAAAATAAAAAACAGGTGAAAACAGCTGGCCTAGATATTCCAAGACCCATATTTTTTAATCTGCCCACCTCACCAACGTGACTGGCTGAATGGCATCGGGACAAGAAACAGCAGTTTCTCATTTGCGAATGACTCGTGTTACATTGCATCAGCCAGAGAAACGCTTCGCCCTGCAGTGTTTGGTCATTTTAGTGGTAGTTAAATGTTGTTTTGGCAGCTAAATGTGTCACTTCTGGACTTTGTTAAACTGGTTGTTTAACCTCTTTTCCTTTTTGTACAAAGCTTTTAAGTTTGGTTCTCTGATGAATATATTATAACCTCAAAACTGGAAATATTTTTCTCTGTGCATTTAATCTTTACAGCACAACAAAGAAACGGTCACATGGAAATGTTGAAATATTCTGCACTTTTTACCAAATCTTACTTCGGAGCGAGAGCTGAGGAAGCATGAATGATTAGTTGATCAGCACCAATGCAAGGATTAACGTAGTCTTTTTATCACATAGCGACATGTTGGCCTCTTGTGATTTGAGAGGAAAACCTTACCTAATGACAAAAACATCTGAATCTTTGCACTAGAAAGAAAATTTTCCAGTTCTACGAAGCAAAACCATCACATAACTGTAAAAATTACAGACAGCAACAACAGAGTTGGATTTCTAAAAACTCAAAGCAAAAATTAAAATAAAAATAGCTCCAAGTTGCATTATATTTTCAGTTAGGACATCAAAAAATCTGCATAAAATTGAAAAGATACAGTAGTGCTAAAATGGTCTTTAATCTAGACTCAGAGCTCTAACCAAAATCTCTCCAATGCCATGCTTTCAGTGATGTGTGGGGGGTTAAAATTTTATTCTGTTATACTTTAACAAGTGCTTGATAGTTGTAAAAGAAGACCTGACAATCAGTAATTGTTATTCTTTGCACAGAGGACACAGAAGTTGCAGTGACTGCAAATAAGAGTAAACAGTGCAACTGACCTGAAGGTACTCTGATCCACTGGGAAAGACGGGTCCTGCTGGACACCACGCTCCATCTCCCTCTCCAGTGCTCAGCCTGAGACAGAGACACGTCTTGATGTGAATTAAAGAAAATACACATTTTAAAACAAAAACACCACAGTTTAACACACACATAAAAAAGACTAGATCAAAATCTTTAAGGCGCGCACAAGTATAAGTGAGAACTGAATATGAACTCTCCCACCCGCCCCATGGATAATCCTGGATTCTGTTGCAGTTAAAGATTTGCATTTCTGTAAAGCAATGCATTTGACAGAAAGAAGCAAAAAGACAGAAACTTGGAGAGAGGAAGATTTGACAACTGCTAGAAATTACAAGAAACACACAGCTGATGAAGAGATCAGAGTAAAAACGACCAACTTCATCATATTCTTCAAACCTCACAACAAGTTCTGGTGTAAACTGTCAGGACTGATCTTTACTGAGCGATCCCACCATGACCACACACACACACACACTCAAACTAAACATTTTCATTCAGTGCGACCATCCTCAATCCAGCCGAAGAACAAGTTTACACGAGCACCACATATTGGCCACAGGAAGACCACAACCTTGGCTGTGTGTCCGTGAGGTTGGATCGGCTCAACAAAGGAGCTTTGGAACAAACTCCAGGCCACAACCGCACTCTGACCGCTGTGGGGGCCCTTCTCAAAATGAAAGCTGCTGCGCTCACCACCAAAACAAATCGCTTTATCAACTCAGTTGCACGGACAGAAGGGTTTGGATTTTAATCAGCCCCACTTATGTCGTCAGTGGGTGAGCTCATACAGTTAATAGCAACAAGATTAGATCAACACTTTAGGGGTCCATTGAGTGTCCAGGGATGGAGGAAGGAGAAATATAGTTGAGTTTGTACTAATATGCACCAGCTTGCAGGATTCACATTACAATGTATTGTTCTGTCATGCAACAATGTTGTCCTTTTTTTTTTGCTTCCACCATATCTACTGTAAACTCCTTATCACTTCTCCTTCGTTCTTCCCTTTCCCCCACTAAATCTTTTCAATATGAGCTGGCTAAGAGTAATAACCGTGTTAAAAAAATGCAACTTCTGCATCTCTCCCCTCACAAAACTCCCTCAGTCATATGTTTTCCAACCCGTTTTTCCCCAGCTTTCAGCACACCACTGCAGCAATACACCTTTCACTTATTTTTTTTTTCTAATTTCTTTAGTTTACATCCGCTGTCCTGCCTGGATCCCCACCCCACCACCCCTTCCTCTCTCAGGGTCTCCCTAATGTGTCTTAAAATGAGCGTGAGCTAACAATCACTTCCACATGGCGAGACACTCGGCCAGGAGACCCAGCCCAACAAACCAGCAGAGACGAATGAACTCCAACACAAGCACATGATCCTGCGAAAGCTCTTCCACGTGGCTGAAGCATGTTAAAGGTCTAACTTGGCTCTCATGGATTAAAGCTTGCTGCCAAATAGCCAAGGTGGTAATACAATTACCAGATGGGTTTTATAAAGACAAGCACACTATCATCTTCATCCATAATCTAATAGACGTCTGAAAATGTATTTTAGCTTGGTGCCAACAGACTGACAATAAGCTATGCAGACAAACACAGTAGTCTGCAGAAGTGCTGCTACTTGATTTACATATTGCTCAGGTAGAAGCAAAGCACTACGCTTCGTGCATAAATATGAGGTAAATGGTGTTCATCATTGACTGATTAAACAAATACAGCACTATTACAGTACATGAAAAATATCAAGCACATCAAAGATAAAAGTTAATAAATTGTTGGCTTTTTCAGAGAGCACAATTATGGTACTAAGCAGCCAAGGTACATTTAATAAATCTGTCCAGCCACTTACTTATTTTTTAATGTTTAGACGGTGTAAAAAATTTTAAACAAAGTTGACACATCTAACAATGCTGCACATCAATAATCAAGTGAGGAAGAGAACCGAGTCACTGCTGGGTCAACTTTGAAGCTTCTGCTGTCTAGCCAAGCATGTGATGGAGTGTGGGAGGATGCATGTGATGCAGCAATGACCTGCATGAAGACTCTAATAAATACTATGACCTTCTCCCAGAACAAGTGTCAAGAAAGTCATTTCAAGTTACCAACAGTGGGTTACAGAGTTGACGTTTAGTCCATCTTCACCCTTGAAAGCTTCAACTGGCTAATTTATATCGATAGAAGCTAATTTGAATATTAGATTATCTGCCATGACTTTAAGGCCTGTAGGAACAAGCACCACCCTCTCACCCTGACCATCATCAGCCCCACACCATGGCATTTTGTTAAACTTTTATTATTCTTAATAATATTATTATTACTATTACTAGTAGTACTACTAATACTGTTATTATTAAGAGTTGCAGGGAGTCCTGTTTTCAGTTTATTAGTTTGAGGGTTTACAGGTTTAGGGGAGATTTAATTTTGCTGCTATGAAGCTTTTTCCAGAAATTATTTGTTTGTCTGCTCCAACTTACTCATTTTGAAATGTAACTGAGTATGTAACCGTTTTCCGTGTGTTCTGTCTCTTTAGAGCCCTTTTTGATACAGGGACCAACATGTTGTGGGGGCTCGTCTGGGATCTAAACCTGGGACCTCTTGCACCCCAAGTCAAACCTGTCTCAAGAGTGCCTTTTGCATATTAGTGGTCAGCATGGGCCAGTTCATCTTCTCCATGGAGATTCAATCATTTGATCTGTTTAGACGAAGCCTGGAGTCAAATTTCAGATCACACCTAAAGTGGGACATACCATTTCTTAACCATGATTTCATTGTTAATATATTTGCACAAAGAAATAACTTTGTCATAATATTATTTAGAGGTGGTTTATGTCTGTATTTGATACCATGAAGCCTGATGAAACGTTCTGGTTCTGGTGGTGGCACTTGAGACCTAAACAAATATTTATAAACAAGTTACGATAAATATTCATAACAAAAAGTTTGACTTATGGGAAGATCTCCAATTCAAAAATGGTTTAACAGTTTAAGGCTTGATATTTTAATACCAGTTGAATATTTTTACTACTACTGTGTAAGTAAAAGTTTGTATTGTATTTTTTTGCCAACTTCATATATTTTTTTACTTCAACACTGGTTGCACTTTATAGTTTCATTATGGTATTTTATTGCATCAGTTTGTGAACTCACTCGAGCTGAGAAAACTCATTTTGTTTGTGTATTTTATATACTATATATCTAGAATCAAAGTGTTTTTGTTTTCTAAAATTACTTTGACCAAATTTACTTCATATAAGAAAACCATCATTAACGATATTACATATGTAAATGTTTTGTTGCTTTAAAGTAAATAAATACAGAATTTAAGTTCATATCAGGATCATAATTTGTCTAATAATTTCTACCTACAGTAGAAAACATTTTGAATGTTTTTCTGACTAACCGTACATTTTACTGTAAGAGATGAGAAGTCAAACAGCAGCTTTTTCTTTAAGGTATTTTTACAGAAGTCAATGTTTCATGTTGACCTTTCATTTTCATACGAAAATACCAGTGCAATGTTCTGTTGTGTGTGCGTGTGTTCTCTCTCCTGAATGTGATTCGCTGAACTAATCACATGTGGGCAGCACTCCAGACTCAAAGGACTGGCATCCGAGTATTTAATCCACCCTATCAAGTCTCAGCGAGTGCTGCTATTCAAAGTGGTGATTACAGTTCTTTATAAAGAGCTCTTTTATAAGCAAGCTTTGAAAGAAAAAGCAAACCAAATTTAAAAGAGCCTCACCTATGGTTTTGAATCCTTGAATTCATTTATCACCATTGATTCACATTTTGTGTCAAGACCAATAACTTTACTCTCAAATCATTTTAATTCCTTTCGTATTACAAATTTGAAAAGCTGTTTTCCACAAAGGAGATGGGAGAATTTATTTTTGGTATGGTTAAAAATCTAACATGACACTTGAGTCATCAACTGTAATCCATCACGGTGAACATCAACTCAACATTATGTCAAAGCTGCACGGATATGGCTTGCCAATTTTTGCATTTCTGCAATAACAAGTCAGTAACGTTAAGGAATGATGGAAAATAAACCAGAGAATTTCCTACAGTTAGACAATGAAAGACTAGCTGCAGTCATCCTCAAAACGTCACATTAGTTACAATAACATTGTTAGTTCTGCAGTTCTTAGAAAAAGTAATCAAGATCAATCAAACAGTTTTCCATTATCTGACAGCAACTGAATGTTTGGTGTCAAAACAGATTTACCACTGATGCTATTCTGCCATATTAAACTTCTGATGTTATGTTATTAACTGACAGGTCTGTAATATTAAACATAATCAGCTGTTCAGAAGAATTTGACAAATCCAGAAATTTAACATGAGCCAGAAAAGGGATTAAAATAATTTCACTTAATCTCAAGCAACAGCTTGTTGCTACGTCACCCTGACTATTGCAACACTGTTTATAATGTAAGTTCTGTTAGCCTTCTACAAATGTTAAAACACCATTTACCATAAAGTACCAAGATTCTGGATGTAAACTCCTCATTAAATATGCCTCTCGCCTCTCAGGCAGACTGGTCAACACTGTCCACACAGAGATTTGCATTTGTATAATTTAATTTCCAAAGCTACACTTGATTTTCTGCCAACACATTTATCTTTCTGTATGTCACATAAAGCAGCTACAGCCTACGCACCTTGTTCATTTTTACTTTTACTACAATGCTTTTGGGGGGGACAGGAAGGCATTTTCCTCCTCCGCCTCTTATTGGAAACAGAAATTGCACTATTTAATTCCACTAAAGGATTTCAAAGTCAATTTAAGAACAATGGAAAAAGCATCACTGGAAGGCAGTGGTGGGATGTAAGTACAAGTACTTCGTTACTATACTTAAGTAAATTTTTCATGTATCTGTACTTTACGTAAGTAGAGTTAAACGTGAGTACTTTCGACTTTTACTCCACTACATTTTACATTAAGTATCTGTGCTTTCTACTACACTACATTTCTATAATGCGTTGTGTTACAAGTTACATTTACGTTACATTTTTTAAAATTTATTTGTTCTTTAGTTTGAAAGTAATCAATGGCGAGAGGGGAGTGGATCCATTGAATCACTGCAAAGTGGGCAGGTAACGTTAGACCCACCTTCAAGAAGAGCTGGGCCAATGACGTATATTCTAGTATATATGTCATTGAGCTGGGTGCACCCGCAGCACCACTAACACACCAAAATGGATTCCACCGCGGCGAGTCTGCCAGAAGATACGTGCCACCCATGCCCTTATTGAAAGACTGTTGAAAGACTATTCAGTACAAAAGGACAGATTCTCTCTCCCAAAAGAGCCAGACTGGACTCAAAAACATTGAAAATCAACTTCTTCTGAACTTGAACAAGAAATTCTTGCTGCAATATTAAAATGTGTCAGTTCATGGGATGTTTGGACAGGAGACTAGAGATGTGTCCAAATAGCTCGACACTCAGGTCCAAGTTTTGAAAATGGTGTCAGGAAGTTAAAATATTGTTCACTATTGACCCATTACAAGGTTGACTGGACAGTTTTTTAACTAGAGTTGATGACAAACTGGAGTTGAAATGATCAGTGTCTATTCCTTTGTTAGGTCTAATGCGCCTTTTTCCAGGCAGACAACTTTAATTAAATATGTTTACTGCAGTTAAAATGATACCTTGGTTTTGCTTTGTGTTAAATAAAAATTTTCAAAGGTATAATCATTCTTCTTTCTTATTTTGCTTAATGGTATTTAACTCTGCATGTCATCCCTGAAATTCTGATGCACAGAATCACAAGTCCAAGTGTGAACTGTGTCACAGGGTAAACACAATAAAAACATGTATTAGCTGCAGCATCGTTCATTAAAATGGCTCAACACTATTAATGTATTACAGAAAATATACATACAGTACGTACACTTAAAGATCCATCCATCCATCCATCCATCCATTATCTTTACCCGCTTCTTCCATTTTGGGTCACGGGGGTCGCTGGTGCCCATGTCCAGCAATCACTGTGCGAGGGGCGGGGTACACCCTGGACAGGTCGCAAGTCCATCACAGGGCCACATAGAGACAAACGAGACAAACATCCATTCACTCTCTCACTCACACCTAGGAACAATTTAGAGTTACCAATCAGCCTAACATGCATGTTTTTGGTCTGTGGGAGGAAAACAGAGCACCCGGAGAAAACCCACGCATGCACGGAGAGAACATGCAAACTCCACCCAGAAAGGCCCCTGGACCGGGGTTTGAACCAAGGACCTTCTCGCTGAGAGGCAGCAGCTCTTCCAGTTGCGCCACCGTGCTGCCCACACTCAAAGATATTGTAGTGTAGAATATATTACCTAATTGCATTAGGTAATATATTCAGCAAGTACTTTTACCTTTAATACTTTAAGTATTTTTAAACGCAAGTACTTATTTACTTTTACTTAAGTAAAAACGTTAATGGGGTACTTCTACTTTTACTAGAGTACATTTTTGTCTGTTTATTTGTATTTTTACTTAAGTACAGTGGTTGAGCACCTTCTCCCCCACTGCTGGAAGATTCTTCTAATACTTTGTCGTTTTTTTGTAATTTATTATAAAATAATAATAAATAATGTGTATGTGTTGTCATCATTGTATGTTCCCATATAATAGCAAAATTGTCTCTCTGCATTTAACCCATCCACCCTCAGGTGGAGCAGTGGGCAGCTATTGAAAGTACCTGGGGAGCAATTGGGGACAAGGTGTCCTGCTCAGAGACACCACGAGATTTACTTAATGCTTTCATTTGGGGTAGCACAATGGCTCAGATGGTAGAGCTGCTGCCTCTCAGTGAGCAGGTCACCGGATCAAATCCCAGCCAGGGGGCCTTTCTGAGTGGAGTTTGCATGTTCTCTCTGTGCATGCGTGGGTTTTCTCTGGGTTTTCTGGTTTCCTCCGACCGACCAAAAACATGCATGTTAGGCTGATTGATCAATTGTCCCTAGGTGTGAGTGAGAGAGTGAATGGTTGTTTGTCTCGTTTGTCTCTACGTGTCCCTGTGATGGACTGGAGACCTATCCAGGGAGTCCTCCGCCTCTCGCAGTAACTTCTAGATATGGGCACCAGTGACCCCCGCGACCCGGAAAGGAAAAGATAATGGATAGATGCTTTTATTTATGGTAATATGAATTGTGCCAACTATTGAATTTTTAACTAATTTTATACCCTGCATGATTACTTTAAACAAAATTGTGTCTCGATGAGATTACATCCAACCAAAAATGTATATTTTTTACTTCAACTGACAACATGACATGTTTGTTAGCTCAAAATAATTTTTAAAAAGAAATGCAGAAACACTAAGGCCTCGCCCAAACAACAACAACAGTTTTTCCAAAACAATCTTTTTATTTTTTTGTTTCTAAAACTATCCTCAGCACAATTTGTAGAAATTTCTTGTCTCTATACGGAAACACTGAAAACAAACCAAAACCCTGTACTAACTATGCCTATACGTGGCGCTGTAACGCTACCATAAATACAAAACAAGGAGTGGTGTGAAGATAAAGCTTGCACGTTGGATGCAAAATGTAAACATCACAAGAAAAAGACACTCCAGTTGTGGGTTAGGTTACAGATGGAGAAATGACATCAACTTTTGCAAAACCTTGTGTTTTGGCCATCTACTGTCTACACCACAACGCCAGGGTGGTGCTAAAATAATTTTCACTCTGAAACCCATTTTGAAAAAATATTGTTTTAGATCGCCTAAAGAGTTCTTTCCCTGTGGCTATATTCACAAAAACTGTTTCTGTGTGGAGAGTCCCCAAGAGTTTTGAGAGGTGGTGCAGGTTCTCATCAGTTCCCCAGCAGTAAACCTGTCCTCAGGAAAACAAACAAAAAAAATCAAAAACCTTAAACCAAGAGCTGCGTTTCAAATAATCCTTTAAAAATAAAACACTTACCGTTTAAAAAGTCTTGTAATCTTGTAGAAAACACTTAGTTGCTTTTGTCCTCTGCTATTTTTACAACACTGTATTTATGGTACAATGTTCATGGATGGTTATAATCAGGGCTTAGTTTGTAAACCGATCAATGCAGGAATGCAAATAGCAGGCGGGTCGGCGGGGGGTGGAGGAGGATGTCTGGGGGTCCTCCCGCAGAAATTTTGAATAAAGTAGATGCGATTTCCTGCATTTTGGTGTATTTTAACGGGTTGTTAAACATCTATGTTTACCTACATTTGTAAACACTCAACTTCTGTCAAGCATCCTACCCCCCTCCCTCCCCCTTATTTGACGGTTCCAAGCCCGACTCTTCTCCGCTGAATACACTGTCCTGCTCGTTGTTGTCCGACTCCACATGTGAAACCTCCAGCCGCCTCCTCCGTCTGTTTGGCACTCACCCCCACCACTCTTTCAGGGGTGGAGATTTTTTTCAAGGGTAGAAGCGGAAATGCTTCCTTGAAGCGGCAGCTCGTAAGTGGCTGTTATGTTTAAAATTAGTGTTTATATAATTATTTTTCAGTTTACATATCCAATATAAGTTTTATTCAAGCAAGGCAGTCATCTTTGTTCATAATGTTATTATTAGTCAACGTGAGAGTTGCCAGATCCAAGCAAACAGTTACCGGAACGCACCCTGTCAAAATAAGAGAGTTCCTGGATCCTGTTCCTGCAGGATCCGGCTCAAATTAAGCCCCGGTTATAACGTTGACATGAGGTTTAGAAAAATGTGACAGAGGTGTTTTTATATCCTAAACTGCTTCACATGAGACACAATCTAATCTTACACAAATATCGCAGGTGCACGACTGCTTTTAGACATTTACACAAGTATATATGAATAAGATCTAGGAAGATGACTGGGGTGGGGGCAGTAAATGAATGACTTACTGCTATCTCTAACAGATTGATGAAGCCATTTGTGTTATGATTTTGTTTGAAAATGGATAAAGTATGTGTCTGTTGTTGAAAACTACTTTACAGCCTGGTAACTTAAAGTAAAGTGGAAAAACAATTAAATACACCTCGACAGTAATTTTATCCGTTATTTTCACCCTGCACACACGCATACAAACACATGTCCCACCTTCCGTGTTTGGCCTCGGTGGAGTCGGACCAGGAGCTGGAGGCAGTGATGTCAGAGTCTGGAATGGTGCCGTCCTCCATCCCCAGGGCGTACCGACACTGAGCTGCGAGGGAAGGATTGGGAGAAGCAGAGAAGACAGAAGAAGGATAAAGTTATGACGGAAAATTTTCACGAGTCTGAAACAACTGTCCAGAAGAAACTTAATATTTCCACTAGCGTGTCAGAAGCCATCATTGGTCACGGAGCATAATGTTGTTATGTCATGACTGGGAAAACTTCCGGGCTTTATGCTTCCCAACCCGCACAGACATCGAGTGAAAGGAAACAACAATGAGATCTCCTTTTGCTGTCAGTTGTTACAGGGTCTTACAATTTAGCCAAATATATTTACACTCAATTTTTCAAAATTTCTGACATTTAATCTCCATAAAAGCTTCAGTGTTAAAGGCTACCAGCATTAAATTAAACCCATTTGTTTTGGTTTGACAGTAACAGTGATATTTGTCATGTTAAAACCATAAAAGATAAAATGAGTGCAGACTGTGGCTGTTATAAGAAGTAGACTGATCGACCAATGAGTTGAACAAGTTTTTTTTTTTTTTTTATAAATCAGCCATGCTTGAGCAAAAAGTCAATCAGAGACAAGTTGAGAGCAGCACAGTGCTGTTACTGTATGCTTACTTTGTATTCAGACGTTAAGATTTTCAGTTTCAAGTAAAAAAATAAAATCTACTGGAATGCTCCTTATAGTCGGAATTTCAACCTGGAAAGTAATTTTTGATCAGTCCTGACATCAAAATCCAATATAGCTGCTCTGTGTATTAAAATATTGGAAGTCTTGAGTAATAAACCATTTATTGTCACTTCATAATGTAAAATAAGTTGCACATACAGCACTGCAAATGCTGATGCAGTGTTTAAATGCAAATATCACAATGAAATACACAGTTATTAGCAATACAAGACAATAATAACCTGGTTATCAAGCAGAACAATTAGAAAATCATACCAACTTTCTGAGTTGCAACTGAAACCAGGCCTGTCACGATAAATTTTGATGGGCGATTAATTGTCGCAGAAATTATTGCGATAAACAATAATATTGTTTGAAATTTGGCAATATTTTTAGTAATTATTGTCAAATCCAAGAAGAAATGTTGGTTAATTTTTGTGTGTAGTACTTTTTTTGACCACCGGATGGCAGTATAAGACTGTTTGAACCAAAGGATGGTTAGTGAGGGAGCGAGCAGCGTGTCTCTTAAAAAAAAAATGGGAGGGAGGCCCCTTGACATGACATGGGCTGTCTCTCTTCGGTTCGAACGATAAAGCTGATAAATGAAAATGAGGTTGATAATTTATCTATCATGCGATTAACTGATTTGTTGTTTATTGCGACAGGCCTAACTGAAACATGGTTTTGTTGGAAGTCAAACAGAAGATCAGAAAAAAATATATGAAAATGATTTCCCTAGAATTTACAAACTGTTTAAGGATTCAGCATTTCAGTAAAGGTAAAGTTAACAATTGTAACTCTGATACAGTCCATTTAAAATGAAAAATAAATTAAGTGTTCAACATTTACTACAAATTTTGCAAAAACTGTAGTTGTGGAACCCATTTCTGTGCAAAGTTTTGAAACAAAAGTTTGAATAACACCAACTTGAGTAAGTAAACTGAGAGACTAAATGTCCCCTTAGGAGACTCTGTGGAATATCTCTTCTACGATGACACCTTTCCTGCCTCGTATTCTTTTTGTCTTTCCAAACTATCTCGGTTCCACACAAAGCCTCGCCCCGGGCTCCAGCAATCCTGCACAGCTCCAGTTACCACCGCTTTGAGATTTTCAAGAAGAGAAAAACAAAAAAAGAGGGCAAAGGAAGGAACAGACAGGTCTCTCATATCTGAAGTGACTGCTCCAGCGGCAGCATTATCAAACAATCCTAATAGCATGGTCCCAGGCAGGGATTACCCAGACCGCCAGCTATCTGCTCTGCAGTTATCATGGAGAGGAGGTGGTGGTGGTGGGTATGTTTGGTCAGTGATAAAGTGGGAAAGGGGGGGTATAGGACAGTGATATGGAGGGTTGGCTGAGGGTGACAGAACGAGGCGGGGGTGGGCTAGGCGTCTAACTGACTTTCTGTCACTGAGTCAGTGAACAGGAATGTTGGGCTGGATGACAAACCCTAGAAACCCCAGTGAGTGAAGCGCGCTCACACAGTTCACACACACCCTGAGGACAGGTGCCCATTACATTACATCATCATGGTCGCACCACGCTGCTGGTTAACAACCTGACCTCTCACCATCTCCGTCGCCCTCTGTAGCCTCAGCTTTCACCTGGCCAGACGAGCTACGAGTCTTGGAACAGATTCTGGTTTTACTTAATGTAAATACTGATCCATTAATCAACTTGTAATTGAAAGCTGCAATGTGGAACATCAGATAATTAAAAACTGCCTAAACATTCAAAATTTACATAAATGTGAATAAATAACAGGAGCTGCCTTTAGTGTTTTTTTTTAATTTGTGGCTTCTGTGAAGCTGATACCTCAGTGCACAACAAAGTACGTTTGTGAGTTGTTTGTCAGGCGTTGCCTCCATTTCAGCTTAGGGAGGAGGAAGTAATGTTGTCCCCAGAGGATGATTGGTTTTTAAACGGTCTATATTTCCAGCCTCAAATCAATGTAAAGGACAGCTAATCAATGAATGAACCAGCAAATGCATCGATGCTTGAGTAACAGACTACTGAACTCATGAGCAAGCATCCACAGCATTCAGTATAAACGTCGTGGATTTTCCAAACGCCAGAGTAAAATTTCCAGATAAAAAAAGATCTGAATGAAGCAGGTAATCTACTGGAATATTCAGAGTGTGTGTGAGCATGCAGTATGGCTTCTACTCCTTTTCTGCTGCCATGCGCGTTACTTTTCTTCATGAGATGGAATTCCCACCAGAAGGTCTACTGCTGCAAAGTGCTTGTGTGAACAACAAATGAAGAATGAGCATGAACAAATTTTTCACAAATTCTCCAGAAAATGTCCAATTTTCCAGGTGTAAAAACATCTCTGGAAAGCCAGACAGCCCGGAGATGAGCCAGAAATAGTCTGTGTTACAAAAATCCTAACACAAGTCAGGTTACATTGAGGACTACGAGCACGGTCCACACTGCAAGTCAAGGCTTGTGATGAACAATTTTTCCATTAGTGTCTGGTAATGCACTTTTTTTTTTTTTTTTGGCAGATGCTCACACAAATAAATGCAATTAACATATTTTATAGAGTCCACTAGCTCAGAATTCACAAAATCAAATGAACCTTGAATTATGTCAATTAGAAAATTTATGCAGACTTAGTAAAACATCAAGAGTGAAACACAGAAAACAAACCCTCTGATACAATATTTGCCATATTTACATACATTATTTACACCATCACAGACAGAAGCTAGTGAGACCAATTTATTAAGCTAATATCTACACAAGTGATTCTCAAAGACCCAACTCGGGGTCCACATCTGGATTGAACGACACGTCAATCTGGACCCAGCCCATTTGTTATACTATATTGCGTAATTAATTGGAATCCAGCCTGCAACAAACTCCTTGTGTGCCCAGGTTTGAGCAATTATTGAAGGCAGCCTATGCCACTTTTCACTCTAGGTTACTTTTTAATAGTTGTTTCAGGGCATCTGTACCGTTTACCTCAATCATTTTTTTCTATTTTAATTTCTTGTTGCTTTTATGTTCAGTTTGTTCCTGAGTGAAAAAGTCATTTTATTTTGTTGACGCATGAAAAACAATGAAGTTAATAAAGTTAAATTGTTTCAAAGAAATACAGAACACACAACGTTAGAGCAGCTAAGGTTTTCATGCAAACAACATCATTCTTTAGGTTGAAAGTTGTAAGCACATTTAATAAAAAGGATCTGCTTATTGCCAGTTGTCCTCAACCGTTGACTTTTATCTAGAAATCCAATTTGGACTTTTGAACATAAAAGTTAAAAAATCCCTGGTTTTGCACCTTCACCCCCTGCAGATTTGGAGGCTTTTGCTTTTTATTCTACGTGCAAAACACACAAAAAATAAATTAAAAGTCAATGAGTAGCAGCTCTGCTGCAGCTTTAAAAATTACAAGAGCTCAACGTATCAATACTGTCATATTTTGACCTTTTTAAGTTTTCAGCAGACCAAACTTAGCTTTAAGGTCAGTTGAGAGCATATTTACTTAGATTTTTCATTTGATAAGGTCAATAGAAAAATCTCAGCAAATATGTTCTTGTATTTATTATTTTACTTTGTTTTTTTATGGCACCTTGATTTGACTTTTATAACACTGCTTTAATTTTATTTTAAATTGCTTTATGTAGAATTACAGTTGTCTGTACTTCATATGTTGTCTGTCTAACAAAGGTCTCTCTTGAAAATGAGTCCTCATGACTTAATAAGACTGCCTGTATATAAAAAAAAAATTTGAATGAACAAAAAGAAAATGCATAACTAGAAAATGGGAAAATATATTGGTAATGTGAGACTATCTGCATAAAGCTCTGAATAAAATCCTAACCCTACCAACGATCACAACAACAATTACATGATCAAAATGTTGATATTAAATAACTTTTGCACATATAATTTGTTTTTTAGCACTAATAAAAGATCTTGCTAAGGCTAAGACAGTGACATGGTGAGCTGAAAATGCCACAAGATGAAAACACCATTAATTCTGAGTGGGACAAGTCAGAGCAGCGGTTCACAAAGTTGAGGTCAGGACCCCAATGTGGGTCATGAAACACCAAGTGGGAGGTCTCGAGATGGTCCCCAAGAATCAAATTAAATGTAAAAAAAAAAAAAGAGACAACACTTTTTGGCTACAATCTATTACATCAGAGATTAAAAACAGAAGTTGTTGGATGCTTTGTCATAATGTCTTTGTGTGACTGACTAATGACTGCAGTGGTTGTTTACTTAAAGCATTGGTAAAATGGGTCATAAGAATGTTATCATTGATATTTGAGAGTCAGAAACAGAAACGTTTGGCAACCACTGAGCTGGAGCCTAAATATCCCCAAAACTACTGACAGTTTTAAAGAGTAATGCAAATAAATATTTCATGTGTTGCTGTTTTTGTTCAACTGATGAATTCATTCGTTTTCAAAGAAAACAATCTGACTGTGAGCAAGGTAAACTAAAACCACACAGCTGAATGTGATAAAAATTGATGGATTGTGAACAAAAGAAAAAAAAAACTGGTGCAAGATCACATTCTTTAAACTTGAAAGTAAGGTTGCTTTCTTTTTCTAGGATTTATGTCATCTTCAATACAACACATTAATGCAGATCTGTTGGTTGGTTCGACAAGAAATATATTCTAGTGAATTGTACCATTTCAGCCCTACTCCTGTGTACAGCTGCTGCAGTCAGAGGGCTGCCTGCCCTGCACGCTGGCTCTGGTTACACCTGGTTGACTCACATTCACCAGCTTCTCAGATGCTTCCTTCCCCGACACTTTGACTGACACTTTCACAAAGTGCCTACACATTAGTGGTCTTGACGGGCGGGGGGTGGTGCGTGCATGTTTGGGGTGTATGTGTGTGGGTGGGTGGGGGGTTACTGCCCATCTTACTCTCCTATTACAGACGACTGGCTGGCAGACTGGGAGAGGACACAGGATAGCCTGTTGATAGTGGATGGAGAGAGAGTCCATCTGATCTGAGACTGTGGAGAGAATGTCAGGCAGACATGGTATGGAGGACGAAGGGAAAATTTTTTAAAAATGCAATCATGTTGGAGTCTGTGAAAGAAAAAAAAAAGGTCTTGAGATGTGCTGAGAGCAGAAGCTGTTTAAAATGAAAACCTAGCATTCCTTGGGGGAAAGAATATCGTCTGCCGCCTTTCATGGCTAAGTTTTAAACTGAAATCATTTGATGTTGAGAAATGATGGAGTTGTAGTCATTTTGGTCAAACCTTGAAACCAAAGCAAGGCACTCTATTTGATCTGTTGGCGCTCAGCGTGTTTTAAATCATTCTCAGCTACTACCACATCAAATTTTACCTCGATATTTGAAAAACTGACTTCACTTATAGCCATTTTTGTGGTTTCTAATTAAGACGGCTGCAGCAGCCATCTTAATTTGGACTCAGTACAAAATTTCATCTGTTGCAGTTTTACATCCGATGATTACTTTATGAAAATTTCATTCAAATCTGTCCACATGTTCATGAGATACTTTGATGACAAGTCTGACACCAATAATTATTGCCAAACATTTAGGCAACAATACTACACAATGTCTAGTGCTCTAAGTATACAGGATAGGGCTGGACAATAATTTGATATCGATATATATCACAATATACTTTTATTCAATAACGGTGAAATGAGTGTTAAGCACATTTTCAATATTTCAGTATGAATACAGCGTTTTACTGACAAATTTCGTTTTCTGTTCGGGTTGAAGTGGCCGCTTCAACCGGCGGCCGTTTCAACCCAAACAGAAAAAGCCGCGACACAACTACGTAAGTGCGTGGTGACGTACACCACACACAGAACTCGAGTCCAGAAGGAGTCAGCGGTAGCAAGCTAGACTAGGCTAAGCTCCAACGCGCGGTAAGTTTTCTCTTCAAAATGAGTGCCCATGACCGTCAGAATGTGAGTGAACAAGCTTTCACAAGAGAAGAGAAAGCAGATGACACAATTGATAAGAGAGGAAAGAATAATTTGGCGGTGTGGAAGTGGTTCGGCTATCTAAGAGCCGATAAACTGCAGGTTTCAGTGTGCTGCAAAATGTGCCGGAGTCGTTCCAGCTAGCGGTGGGAACACATTTAACTTGTTCCACTTGATAGAATATGCTGAGAGTCAGAAGATGAAGAACAATAAGTTTGAGCCAACGTGTCCATGAAACAACAGCTGTATCAAAAGTGTAACCCATGCAGCAAACTTTAGGTTATGTTGTTGTTTAAAGTTAAAAAATATTAATATTGACAAAGTTGAGAGTTTCATGTTTAATTGACGGTGATTTCAAATTTCTTTGAAGGCTAAAAACAAATAAAAGGTGAACATTAATTTATTTGTACAGTTTTTCTGAGGCTTTTATATCGATATCGGAATCATGTCGTTATCGACCAAAATGAAGAAATGTATCGTGATTTTAAAAAGTTTTGGCCATATCGTCCAGGCCTAATATAGAGTAATGTTCAGCTTCTACCACACCAAGTTTTAGCTCAATATCTGTAAAACAAGGCGAGTTAGCCATCTTTGTGCTCCGTGAATTTGATTAGCTGTAGCAGCCATCTTGAATTGGATTGACTACTAAGTTAATGAGATGCAGATGTTCCAAGGATTACTAAGAGAATTTCATTAAAACCCGCCCAATTGCTCATAAGATATTTTGCGAACAGGCAGATAAACATAGGCAAAAACATTATCACCCACTGTTCCCCTTTTGGTTGAGGCTGACAATGAGAATTGAATATTTTCTGCGCTCTGTATGCGTGTGAATCCTACCTGGGTTAAAGTGCCACTCATGTTCCTCTGATGAAACCAGCGCTGCCAGAACTGTGATCACAGCGACGGGAAACAGCTGCGCGACCATCGAGGCCATGACGGCAGAAAAAACGCTGGTTATGTGTCCGGAGACACACTGATGGCCACAGGCATACCTGTCGGGAGGAGGGAAAAGGACATTTTTAGAGCAGCATCTAACAGTTTAAATTGCACCAAACCACCAGCAAACTACGCTGCATTTCACTTTAATTTTCCCGCACACAGCTCCAGCCTGAGGCGGCTCAGTACCACCATCAATAACAACTCTCTCAATGATGCCCTCTCGTTCCAAAACACGTCGCATGTCTTACAATTAGCTTTTACTCCACATTTTTTAAGCCGAGCACTGATCCAAACCCCCAAGGAGCGAGCACAAAGCCAAATAACAAAAAAAAAAAACCCTCTTTCACAGACTAATTTGTTTTTCTCCCTGGCACCACAATGCAGTGATACAATACATTAAAAATGGACAAACAGCTTGGTAATCGAGGGGGGTATAATTAGCCATCCTAATTTATTCTCAGAGATTTTTTTTGTGTGCCTGTGTTTGAAACGCCAATCATTTCTCCAAATTATTTCAAACCTTCTTTCGCTCAATAGGAAGGAGCATATTTGGAGCACCTGATTATGGATGGCTGTTTTGAATGAATACCAAACAGATGAAGCAAGACGGGAGAAATGGAAGCTAATTTGAGACAGAAGGAAAGATGTCAATGTTTTGAGTTAAAGAGAATAAACTGTGCTTTGTTGTTCTTTTCCCCAAAAAAAATTTCTTCATCGAGTTGTACAGCTCTCTGTGCATGTAAGTCTTCAAAGTTAAAAAAAAATAAAGCAACAAAAGGAATCGTTCTCTCCCACAGAGGATACTGCTTTTCATTGCCTGAAACCTTTTGTTTGTTCACGTAGCTGTTCTTCCCTGTGGGCGACGTCACACATGGCTGCAGAAAACAATGGTGCAATGGTCACTAACCAGAAACAAAACCTCGAGGTAGACGAACAGAAACCGGGTAGCAAGGGCAGTTTACAAAGGAGAGTGAGAAAATGGGTCCTCAAGAATTTGTTTCATAAAGATCATTTATTATAAGCAAATATTGATCAATTTTATTTTCAAAAAACACAAGAAGCCGATGATTCATGAGGTGAGTCTTGCAAACTCCACTCAACATGTTCATCATTATCAATGTTGGATAAAATAAATATCCTTTCATTATCTACTTAAATGAAGGAGCTCACACACGACGACAGAAGATTTTTCAACTTTAGGTGCCCAGTTTACTTGCAAGGGCAGAGTTCACACAGGCTTTCACAAAAGCTACATGCTTATAGCCTTGTCAGCGAGAAGCTGCACCGGACTGTGAGGCAGGAAGTGCTTTATAATACAAGCTTATCAGACAGAGGCGAGGTCAAGACAATCTCAGTTTTCCAACTTACAGACTCAGAGAAAGCCTTGGAGTTTATTAGGTGCATCTGCAGGCTCCTCTCTGAGCAGATAAAAGACTTTCTGACCCACACACTTCACGCACAGGGTTCAACATAAATTTAACTTCGTTAGTGATGAACATTTATAATCTTTACCTAAATTCCCCTGACAATCAACTACAATTTAAAGTGCAAAAAAGTTGGGATGTTGTGTCAACTGTAAATACCAGTAAGACTAAAATGCATCCATCCATCCATCCATTTTCTTCTGCTTATCCGGGGTCGGGTCGCGGGGTAGCAGCCTAAGTAGGGAGGCCCAGACTTCCCTCTCCCTAGCCACTTGGGCCAGCTCTTCCGGGGGAATCCCGAGGCGTTCCCAGGCCAGCCGAGAAACATAGTCCCTCCAGCGTGTCCTGGGTCTTCCTCTGGGCCTCCTCCCAGTGGGATGTGTCCGGAACACCTCACCAGGGAGGCGTCCAGGAGGCATCCTAAACAGATGCCCAAGCCACCTCAACTGGCTCCTCTCGACGTGGAGAAGCAGCGGCTCCACTCTGAGTCCCTCCCGAATGATCAGAGAGTGTGGTTGAGAAAATGGAGGAAATTTTGAATGTTGAAGTGGCAGCGGCAGAACTGGTCCAGGAGGAAAAGGAGAAGCTAATAAATAAAAAAAATTAAAAAGCGTCATCAGTCGTCTGGCAACATTTTGGGTTCAGCAAAGACGATATTGAACAACAACAACAACAAAAAAGCCCAAGTGTAAACTATGCCCAAAGACTGTTGCAACAAGCCATGGCAATACATCCAACCTCTTCCAGTTAAGTTATTTTATACTTCTAAATTTGTTCAGTTGTGCTTATTTGTTCAAAAACTATTAACAACTAAAAGTACACATTTTCTTCATTTGCAGAAGCTGGAGTTTTAAAGTTCATTAAAGTGGCAATAAAAAGGGAATTATGTCATCAATATAACTGGATGTGAATTATTTATGCCGGCCTATTACATTATTTTTGAGGGTGGAGGGGTTGCAGTTATCATCCATTTATCGTTATCGAGGTGAACTGCTCAATATATTGTGATATTGATTTTAGGCCATATTGCCCAGCCCTATGTTGAAGTGACCTGCCTGCAGCGCAGATCTCTCGTACGTATGTTTACTTGGTTTAAACATTTGATCTCTTTAATATGGTTAACTATTAATTTTAAAAATGTATCTTCTTCTTTTGGCTGCTCCCTTCTTCAGAGGTCGCCACTGTGAACTAACTCACACGAAGACATGGCAATTGTTTTTATGCCGGATGTCCTTCCTGACACAACCACAGACCACCGAGCTACCACAGCCCTCTGTGTGGAACAGAGAGCTGCCATAGGGCGCCCAGTGGGGCAGATGATTGTAGTTGAGGGCCTTGCTCATGGGCCCAGAGTGGGACAAATGAGGGTGGAGGCAGGTGTGGGTGCTTCACTTTTTCCACCCACATTTTTGATGTTGTTGGTTGGGGGTGGTGGTGGGGTGTCAAACCGATGAGCTTCCAATCACGGGTTCACCTTCTCTAATCTCGGCACCACAACTCCCCGCTATTGTTATGAAAAAAATAATAGTTTGTAAAATTTGCAAACTATTGCATTCTGTTTTTATTTACGTTTTACATAACATCCAATCATTTTTCAAAATCGGGTCGGATTTTTAACTGTACAATTTCAAAATGTACACAAAACCAATCAAATGAGTGCAACATTTGGCCAATCAGAACAGGCTGAGCCTTTTAAAACAGAGTGCTGCAAATAGAGGGATGGAGGCAGCGCTGAATCAATAAACACTAAAAATAAAGCGATTTGGAACATGTATGCCTATCTATAATAAACAGCGCAAACATGGTGTCTTATTATTAACAACATGAGTTCATAACATCATTACAGTAATGAACACAGCAGAGTTGCAACACATCCTTCACGAGGGATATAGTATTGGCCTTGTGCTCAAATTAATTTAGATTTGTTGATTCAGCTTATTTGATCTTTGAAGACTGTAGAGCCCGTGAACTATTTGAGACTACCAGTGGGAAAACCCAGTGATAAGTGGAAGTTTTAGGAGGGAGTGGCAGCTGGGAGAGACGAAGAGTCCGGGCCGTCTTCCCTGCAGACCCCCATGTGTGTGTTTCGGCTTCATCTCCAGCTCGACTCAGGCTGACAGCTGACACACAGCTGTAGTGACAGAGGGTCGGAGGAGGAGGGGAGGCAGAGAGGAGAGGGAATGCATGGAAACGGAGCGACCCAGGGCGGAGACGGCAGACCAAGAGCAGCGATGACATGAGTACGTGTGTGAGTATTTGGGTGGAGGGAGGCAGGGTAAAAAAGTGACTTATGGTCTCCGAGTGTGTGGGTGCATGTGGGATATCCAGCTATAGCAGCTGTCCTGAACAAGAGACACAATACAACTGATACACAGTGAATGTGTTCTGAGCAGAAAGAAAAGTGGAGACATGAGAGGCTGAAGTCTTTCTTCTCCAAAGAAGGAAAAAAAATAGAGGAAATATTAAAATATGCATATTAGCAAACTGAACTCAGTGTGTGCAAAATTACAGCCAAGTGGGTCCTTGAATGTGAGGCGATAACCATGACAACCTGTGTGTCATCAACCAGCATTCTTCTCCACAGCATCTCATCAGCAAAACAAGCGTTCAAACTTTCATCCAGCACACAGGAGACACAAAGACATCATAAACGCACAAAAACCCACACGCGTGTTTCAGGCTAGAGCAGGAACAAAAGTGTCCGCGGCCATCTGAGAACACTGTTGTTGGAAAAGTCAAGTGGTGTTGAACAGCTGTGCTTGGTGCTCAGAGGGAAGGAGAAGGGCCCGCTGTCTTCTGGAGGACGCAGAGCAGCGAGCGCTCGGCCCGATCCACAATCACATTCTGCCTCCGCTAATCCAAGAGCAGGACTAATGAATACTTATGAGCAGCTGCTGTCTCTGTCCCACACAACAAAACAACTGACGAGAGGGACAAAGCTGAGAGCAGAACAACACGCAGGACATTTTTTATTTATTTACTTATTTAAAGATAGCAGTCGTTGCATCATGTAAGATTGTTTGCCAGTCCCTATAATTAGACTGCGACTGTGAAAAGCTGGCAAGACAAGCTTGGCTCTGCTTAGCCTCTTTTCTAGTGACACAACTATCAGACCTGATAAGATTTTATTAGTTTATTATTCTTTCCTGTTTCTTTTTAAAATAAAGCCAGTCTAAACACCAGTGGTGAGGTAATAATTATCACGTCCATTCAAAAGACAAGGGATGAATTATGTTTTTTGCCAGAGTCTGTGTGTATATGTGTGCGTTTATGAGTGTTAGCAAAATATCTTGTGAACCACTGGACAAGTTTTAATGAAACTTGCAAACAAAAATCGCTAAATGTACATCTGATTAAGTGGTTGCCTTTTGGAGTCATACCAGTTCAAGATGGCTGCTGCAGCCAACAGAACCTAAAAACACAGAAACTGCTCCAAGTCAGTCAATTTTACAGATATTGAGCTAAAACTGGGATTGGTGGTAGTTTAGACTCATCCCCAAATACACATTCTAATGGCTAACAGAATGAAGAAGAAATTTGTTTAAAATGTTACCATCAATATTTCAAATATGTCTGTCATCAAAATATCTCAAGAACCACTGGACAGATGTTAAAGAAATCTTCAGGA